AAATAACATTTGTTAGGCCACACTACAACAGTAGGCAGTTACGTATCATGTTTCCCAAGGTAAGGTCTTGTTGGATTCTAACATGAGAACTAAGATCAAAAAAGATAGGACAGCTAATTTAAAATCTCAAGTTTTCCAACAAAGTTGAACTTTCTGACAAATGCTAGATGATTGGAATGACCCATGAGCCTAGAAAGTTTAAGGTAGTTTCTTCATTGAGATAATAAAGACCTTTTGCTGAGGGAAAAAGAGTCAAAAAGACCAGATATCAGATACACTAGTGAATAGCTAATGAGACGAAATGTTTAAGTGTGTATATATCTTAGGTATATACAACTGTTACAAGACCGTTATTTCTTTTTATCCCCAGGAAACACATTTAATTACAATATTAAAAACAAACAAAAGATTGAGCTTCTGATAGAAAACGAAATCCTATCAGAAGCTGAGTTACATGGAGTCACCCATTTCTTATACAGATATTGACTTCTGCTCCCCACCATAATATTTGATAACAACAAACATTTATTAAGCACCCATCATGTAATAATTCTGCTAAGGACATAAAAAGATGACTAACAGAGTATCAGAGCTCACAGACTAGGGATGGCTGGCAGGAAAATATGATGGGTCATAAGAAGAAGGGAGATAAGTCAATATGAATGAAAAGCTGGAATTTCCTTGTAGGGGAAAGAGGAAAGAGGATTAATGCTTTGGAAAGAGAAATAAAAGATTTCTGGGCAAGGTGAAACTCAAGAGTTGTTCAATCTTGTCAGATTCTGAAGGCATCTCTAGATCCAGCTCCCCAATGGGACAGCTAAAAATAGGTTATCATGATAGCAAAGATAACAATGGCTAGCATAAACCTGGCCATTGTTATTGTTGAAGTCATGGAATCGCTGCTTTCAACTACTCTTGTCATCATAGGCTTCCTGATGCGATCTTCTGTGGTGAGGATGGCTTTTCGAGCTCCACTCCACTTTCCGGGACCCTGTAGACGATACTGGATTGGAGTAGAGGGTCCCCATAATAACTGCCATGCCAGGATGGGGTCGGTGAAAGCAAGAGACAGCAGATTGGGCCTAACGCCCACCAGCTCAGCAAGCTCCTCCATGGTGTCCATATAGTCTGCCTGAATGGTATGGCGCTGACTCTCCACATACCTGAAGCAGAGAAGACAAAAGCCATGGCCTATCAACAATTTCGTCAATCAGCCAATCAGTCAGTCAATTAATCAGTGCTTTCTAAGTATCTGTTATTAGTATCCTGTATACTAGGAGGTATATGGAAAATAGAGAAGAAAGATAAGATATTGTCTCTATTCTGAAGGACAAGAATATAAGATAGACACACATGAAACATAGAATATAAGACTTTTGGAAAATCATGTGATCTTACACTGCTAAATAAAAATGTAGAAGAGGGTAGTTAAAATAGGACCATAATAAGTCCTCGAAGGATGTGGAAGATACAAACAAGCTGACAACAAAGAGGAAAGTCTTACAAGTCAGGGGGACAGCAGGGTGAAGGAATTAAGCAGGAATGAGAGTAGGATGTAAGTACAAAATATCTGTAGGCACTGCCTTACAGTAGGGGAGGAATGTTGTGGAAAACAAGGATGGATAGAGAGAGGCAAGTATAGCAGTTCCAGATACAGAGGACTCTGATTTTATCAGAAAGAGAGAACCCATCATAAACATTCTGAAGTTGTGGACTCTCAACTGTTTCATGGGGGCAGTGGTAATGGGGTCCACAGAGCACAACTTCGGATGGCCAACGTTAATTCAGAATCTTGAAAGGAGGGGGGCGGATGACTTATTCCACAAGAGGAAGTAACGCTCCAAATAGAGCCAGGTGGGATGATTACACCACGTGCAGATTTGAAAAGCTAAAAGGGATTTTTAGAGGGAAAATGTGGTAATGATGATACCTGTGTGGAAGGATTGAGATTTAGAGAGCTAACTGGTAACTTTCTTTTTATTTTATTTTATTTTATTTTATTTTATTTTATTTTATTTTATTTTATTTTATTTTATTTATTTTCTAGAATAAAAATAAAACAAAGAGCAGTGGGACAGAAAGGAAGAGAAAAAGCCAAGTCAAATGAATTGAAATTAGATGGGCTTATTAAGAGACTCCAAAACAAGGACAGGGGGAAAAAATAGAAAATAAATTTGAAGTAGAACTGGTAAATGAAATTCCACAGGAACTGACAGATTCTAAAGTTTCGAAGAGAAGATAAGACAGGACAGAATTTGGGAGGTGTTCCTTACGGATGTTATGTTGGCTCAAGTATTTATAGACATACATTTATCCTCTACTGGGTTGCAAGCTGTAGTATTCATGCATCTTTCACAAAGAGATTCACTAGTACCTGCCTTGTAGGGTTGTTATGAGGGATAGATAAACTCATACATATAAACCATTTAGTGTATGTACATAACGGACCCTCACTAAAGGGAAAATTATATCCTTAGGGACTGCTCAGTCAGGTGGCCAGACAAAAATAAGTCAAAGTAAGGGGAACAGAAAAGTTGAAATAAGATATTTTAGTACCAGAAGAGCAAGGAAAGCAAGCACTCCAAGAAGGATGAGATGTTTAAAAGTGTCAAACTCAGGAAGGAAAATGAAGTTGGGCATGGATGACTTTGAAGGGAGCCGTAGCAAGGAGTTACAATGCAGGGACCTTCGGAGGAGGAAAGGGTGAGAATTTAGAGCATACAATGCAGAATATTTATTGCAGACATTTGGCAGTGAAAGGAAAGAGGAAACTAGAAGACCTGGAAAGGGTATCAGGGTTAAATAAAAACTCTTTCTCCTCCAACGTAGGGAAGAGGTACGCTAGTATAACCAATTCAAGAAAAACTACGTCTTTAGGCTTGGATGATTGTGCCTCTGACTTGAGCACAAAATTTTAGGAACTTAACCATCAACTTCCACTGTGTCCAAATAAAATTGACCAGTGAATAAGCTCAGTTCTGAAATTCAGATTGCTCAAATTACTGTGTCCGCCCAAGCACTAAGCAGCTGGCTGATGCTACCGCCTTTGCAAATCACACAGACTATTCATACCAGGAGCCAGTGAGAATAGTGGCCTCTGCAGTTTTGTAAGCCTACCGGTGGATTTGGAATTCAACCATATCTATCACTCAATTCATTCTCACTCTTCCTTTCTCTGGCGGCTCTACTTAGCATTTCAAATAATAGTTATAAAAACCATTTTCTCTTCAAGGGTTTTTTCCTACTTGACAATTGCTTTTAGGCCCTACATATAGGATTTAAAACACTTTTCTTAAGCTTGTCTCTTCTTTCCCATCCATATCTAAACCACTTGGTACTATTTCTTCATTCTGTTGTCACAAACTATTATTTCCTTTTCCTTCGCAATACAATCTAAATCCTTCAACTAACAAACACAATGAAGATAAAGATAGTACAATATTGTTCTTATTAAATGGAAAAATTAAGCACATATTTCCCTGGGAGAATTTCTCACCTTTTTGCCATTTGCTCTTGTTCCTTAGTTATTTCTGTTATCATTTCACTTTGTGAGGGCAATGTCTTTAGCCCTAAAGAGAAACAACAAAGATGTAAGTGTAAAGCTACCTCAGTAGGAACAATAATCCTATTAACAATTACTGTGTTTTGGAGAATTCAAAGAAATACAGGATAGTTTTCTGTACTCAAGGAGGTTAAACCTTCACTTGATCACTTTATCCTAGCACCACCATAATATAATAATATAAATTAACAACAGTAGCATTCTCTATTCTACTTTGTCTTTGGAAGATACTTGCTTAAGATACTTTGCTGACAGGGATCTCATTACCTTCTGAGGAGATGATTTAATTGCGTGGCTGCTCTAGTTGCTGGAACATACTCTTTTTATTGATCCCCAAATCTACTTCCATGCAACTTGCACCGTTGGACTTAGCTCTGCCTTTTGAAGCCACGGAGTCTAATCTTATATGACAGGCCTTCAAATATTTGAAAACAACTGTCATAACTAATTCAAATCTTATCATCATCAGCAGAGCACCAGTTCCTGACATCATAGGTTTCACATGCTCTGCCATGTTGGTTGCCATCCTCTGGGCACACGCCAGTTATTCTCCTGGTGTCCCTCTTAAAATGTGAGACTCAGAAATTCAACACTCAAGAAATAGACTCCTGTATTTTGCCATGTGCTTTCTCATTTGGGAATTATTACTTATATTCGTAAGTTGATGAGGGAACACTGAAATGCTTCACTTGAGATTAAGCAGAGGTCCCTTATGAAGCTTGTGAAACATATTCTGAGAGTTGATTTCCAAATTGCTTCTTATAGTACAACCATAACTTTTACTTCTATTAACTAGAAACATTATGGGAAGGAGGTATATTTCTTGCCTTGGAGAGGCAGCCAATTTATCAAAAGCAAAAAATTAAAAATAAAGAAAAACTTCTATTAACATATACAATATCCTGTGGTACAATTCTTTCTTAATTCATTGATACTGTTCTTGCAGTGTTTACTCGTTCGGATACGTATTATATTTTCACCACATTTTTTTATCTTCCTCTTCTTATTTTAAGTTATCAGTTTACTATTATTTTTTTTCTTTAATCCTCACCTGAGGATATTTTTTTCCATTGCTTTTCAGAGAGAGTGGAAGGGAGGGAGAGCGGGAAGGCGGGGTGGGGAGGGGAGCGGTGGAGGTGAGGGAAGTGTGGTGAAAATGGGGATCCCTGCAATTATGACAACATTGAAAATTTTAACTAAAAAAATAAAAGCAAGAACATAAATAGAATTAAACATACTACAAGTAATTACTAAGTAGTCAAGTTGCATGGTTACTTACCTTTAAATACTTGAGTGGCCCAGCGTCCTTGGAGCTCTGAAATGGGCATAATGGCACCCAAGGGCTGGATCAACCCTATAATGGCAAGAGTTGGCTTTTCCAGGCTAGGAGGGAAGACTTTTTTATACAGGGATATCTTGTTTCTTACTACCCTGACAGAATCTTCAAGGAAAGGAAATGCGAAGCTATAGCCTGTGGCAAAGATCACAGCATCAATGTCATCCTCCCTGGAGCCGTCTTCAAATATGGCAGCCGTCTCCGTGAATTCCTGGACATTTCCTTTCACCTTCACCAAGCCAGAAATTATACGATTTGGCAGGTCATCATTGACTGTTGGATGCTGACTCAGAGCTCTGTGAGTAGTGATGAAGACCAAAAATAAAGAAAGAAGAATGATCATGGGGGCAGGGAGGGAGAGAGAAATCAATAACATGGAAGTAAAATTCCGTTTTGATGGAGGCGGTTAAACAAGATGCCAAAGGCCTCCATCTTGGTCTATCCATGGAATTTGGGAAAGGTCTAATGGATATTGGCACAGATCAGGATCTCAGAGCAGAAGTTGTACCCTGGATGGCACTGAAAGGAAAGATGTTAGAGAAGTGAAGGAAGAATGGTTTTATTTGGAGAGTGCATGTATGGTTTCTCGACTTTCTGCAAAACAATTGGCTTGGATCTTTTTAAAAAAGGAGAATTATTTCAAATGAAGAGAAATTAAAGAGACAGGACAGCTAAATGCAATATCTGATAGGATTTTAGATTTTAAAAAAAGCTATAAATATATATTATTGGGGCAACTTGGTAAATTTGAATATATTAGATAATGATATTTTATCAATATTAAATTTTCCAAGTGTGATAATTGTCTCATGTTTATATAGGAGAATGTCCTTTTTCGCAGGCAACGTATGCGGAATAATTTAGGGTAAAGTGTCTTAATGATTGCAACTTACTATTTAAATGGTTCAGAAAAAATATGTATGTATGTAGTATGTATGATATACATGTGTGGATCTATCTTTAGAGAGAGGGGGAGAGAGAGAAAGCAAATATAGTGAATCTAAGTAAAAGGTAGTGGTGCTCATTATCCTTACTATTTTGTATGAAGTAAATCTGAACATTTGAACAATAAAAAGTTGGAGGGGGAAAAAAGTTGGATTTAAAATCAGTGTCTAAAAATGCTTTCATTCTCCTTCCTTGGCTGTGTGAGGATTCCATCCTTGATGCCCTCATAGCATGCCATGCATTTCTCCATCTTATCCTATTGTCTGTCTAACCATTAGAGTATTTAAGGTAAAATCCACTTCTTGAATCTGCCACTTATTTCTTGTGTGCTCTTGGGATAGTTTCTCTAAATATCAATGTTTGTAAAATGGAGGGAAAACGCCAATCTATAGGACTGTTGTGAGATAATGCATATTACTCATTTAGTACTGTGCTTGTCATATTAAGTCCTTAAAAAGGTAAGGTGTTATTATTTGTATTAGTTTTACTATTAGATCTCTAATATCTGTAAGTTCATGCCCAGTATAATGCTTGGCTTGTAAGAGGTGCTCAATGTTTGTTGGACGAATGAATGAATGAATGAATGATTCATGCACTGCTCTCTACCACGATTTTGTTGTTGTTGGACATCATGTAAAAAGAACTAGTACCTCTCTGGCTGGTGTGGCTCAGTTGGTTGGAGTGTCATCCCATACACCAAAAGGTGGCAGGTTTGATTCCTGGTCAGGGCACAGACGCAGGTTGTGAGTTTGATCCCATCCTGAGAACATACCTGTGTTTAGGCTTTAGGCCATACATTTTGTGGTTAAACCTTTGGTTCATCCTTTTTTCCAAATATGTGTTTGCTAATGATTGACCACAAATCTTCGACAAAAAATGTTTAAGTCGAGAGTTGAACAACACGTCAAAAGGATATCCTTGGTCTCCTACACGATTCAGGATCCAAGCCCCTCTCCTGGTGCTGAGGAAAACCTGGGGCATAGGAAAAAATTATTTGCTTTTACCATTCTTTGGTTCATAATCCTTTAAAAGTACCCTGTTTTCCTCAAGAGTCACTTTAAACTCATTAGTCTGGGTTTTCAGCGCCTGCACAATCTTTTTTTATGTCCTGCTATTTTCCTTCTCAGATTCTAAGCTTACAATTAAATTGATGTATTCACTGACCAAGAATATGTCTTGCTCTTAATCACCACTGCTTTTTGTTTAATGTCATCACACCTCCTTGAAAAGCCCCTATCCTCTTAATGCTCCAAAACCTATTATTTTTAAGATCCAGATCAAGCCCTAACCAGTAGGGGGCATGCAGGAGGCAGCTGATGGATGATTCTGTTATCATTGAAGTTCCTATCTTTCTCTCCCTCTCCCTTCCTCTCTCTAAAATCAATAGAAACATATTTTATAAAAAGTAGATTAGGAAAAAAAGAAAGGAATGTTTTCTCTTCACAAAAGCATTATAGCACAAGAATTCTTGTAATAAAATGTCCTTGATACTCTGACATTTATAGTTTTATTTAAAAGTAGAGGCCCAGTGCACAAAATTCATGCATGGGTAGGATCCCTAGGCCTGGCTGGCGATCAGGGCCAATTTGTGGGGCGACTTACAGGGCAATCGGGGTGGTTGTGGGGCCCCCGCTGGCACCTGCCTTGGCCAGCCTGGGACCTGCGGGCTGGGGGCAGCCCCTGCGTTGAGCATCTGCCCCCTGGTGGTCAGTGTGCGTCATAGTGACTGGTCATTCCACCGGTCGTTCCCGCTGTATGGTCAATTTGCATATTAGACTTTTATTATATAGGATGTTTGATTTACAAACCACCTCTCATAAGTACAATTTAATATACTTTCTTGGAGAAGCAAAGTAAATAATTTGCTGATTCAAACCTGCTTGGCTGTGTGGCTAATCTCCACAGCCAGATCGCCTCCAGAATTCCCAATGCCAATTACAATGACTCTCTTTCCAGTGAAACTCTCTGGATTCTTATAATCTCGACTATGGAAGTACTGTCCTTTGAACTTCTCAATTCCTGCAAGATAAGGGAAAATAATTATCAGGTGATAGTTTATCTGATATCATTTGACAAATCTTTTTTTTGCAGTGTGTAGAGTTTAAAACATATACTCTCCACATGTTCTCCCTTTACTCAGATGCACACTTGCCTTTCTGAATATTTTTGCCTATTCCACCCCCCCCCCCATCGCCTCGGGGCAGAACCTTGTGACTTCTGTATCATAAATAGTCTGCTTCAACCAGGATGTTTGTACTTTGGACTGGTAGACTCAGATATACAAATGGCTTCAGAAAACCTCCATTCTCTTTTGTCTTCTCATCCTCTTTAAATACCTACTCCCATTTCAATTGGACTATATATTTTTATGAACTCTAGAATATACATAGACCGCTCTTGAGCCTAAAATTCCAGGCCCCAAACAGTAATAAATTCTTTCCTTAAGCTTTAATTTCTTCCTTATAAACTCAGTATTTCTGTTTGTTTCCTTGATTGCTGAGAATCCTAATACACATCAACTCCACCTTTTTTTCTTTTGATTCTTAGAAAAACTAAAGTCATTGTGAAACTAAATATAACTTTCCCCTAGTCTCCAAGTTACCATTATCTCTACCTCCCAACATCTTTTAGGAGGACATACAGAATTAGGATGAGCCTTATTTCATCCCAAGGTCAGAATCACTCAGAATGAAATCCCCCCATTGCTCAGGGACATGGTTGCAGGTATGGGTCAAGGGTCTTTCTTCCTGGTAGGCTACTCACCAGGGAAGCTCTCCAAGGGTAAGTGAGCATTGGTATGATGGCCGGTGCAAACCATGACTCCATCGAAGACATTCATCTCCTTTTTCCCTCCAGATTCCGTGACCACCTCCCATTGGCCTGACGTGGAGAAATCGGGCCGCTTTTTCACACTGCACACACTGGTCTGAAAAGGAAAGTGACAGCAACAGGGGACGGTAACCACAGCCTCTGCAGTGGACATCTTTCCTGAGCTGACTCTCCTTGCAGAGTGACACAAAGGGCTGATATCACACAAGAAGGCTCATGCAGGGGTATTTGATTTCCATACTCCACAAGTAAGAACATTTTTGTGAGATGTGGTCAGAGCGAGAAAGCTTCCATGAGAGAGGCTAAATAAAATAGAGTTGGCAGGCTAATGACGCACTCTTCTCAGCTTCTAGAAAAGTGCAGATTACTAGGTCTCTTGGATTATGCCCTAAGGCAGCGATTTTCAAGTGGTGTGCTGCGAGAATTTTTAAAACATGCAATACCTGACTATTTAGTCAGAGGCACTGACCTCTTTTCCCTGAGACTGTCAAGTAAAAAAATGAATGACAACAGCCAACACAACAATAGCCATCTGGTGTGAATGAATTGAAATTATACCTACTTTTTGTCAGATTGGCAAAAAATATATTTTTTGGTGTGCTGCAAAATTTTAGTAATTAGTACATGTGCCAGGAGATGAAAAAAGGCTGAAAATCACTACCCTAAGGCAATGCAACACTTGAATAAAGCTTAGACTTCTCTTGTGCTTCTAAGATACTCTATGTCAGCGGTTCCCAACCTGTGGGTCGCGACCCCTTTGGGGGTCGAACGACCCTTTCACAGGGGTCGCCTAAATACATCCTGCATATCAGATATTTACATTACGATTCATAACAGTAGCAACATTACAGCTATGAAGTAGCAACAGAAATAATTTTATGGTTGGGTGTCACCACAACATGAGGAACTGTATTAAAGGGTTGCAGCATTAGGAAGGTTGAGAACCACTGCTCTATGTAATAAATGCCTATTCCTCCTCTGACCCCCAAACATCCTGAGACTCTGATGTCTTCTTACCCCAAGCCTTGTTCTCATTGTCTAACTTTAAACTTGTGACTGAGCTATAGGGCTCCCATTCTTAGTAGAGTAGAAAAACATCTCAGTGGCTCCCATAAATGTCTATTTCACAAATAACTATAAAAGAAGAAGTTGTGAAATGGGGTAGTAAGTGGTATTAATTTGTTGTTTTTAAACAAACAAACAAATAACTGTTATTCTACCCAGCCTAAGGAAACATTAAGAATGTATTCCTATGTGCTTCTAGGGTCTATGACAGCCTTTGACAAACTACGGCCCGCTGGCCGGATCTGGCCCGTTTGAAATGAATAAAACTAAAAAAAAAAAAAAGACCGTACCCTTTTATGTAATGATGTTTACTTTGAATTTATATTAGTTCACACAAACACTCCATCCATGCTTTTGTTCCGGCCCTCCGGTCCAGTTTAAGAACCCATTGTGGCCCTCGAGTCAAAAAGTTTGCCCACCCCTGGTCTATGACCATGTCTATTAGGGACACGACACCTTATACTCTAGCCATCTTGCACTATTTATCGTTCTTGCTTTTGCACATGCTGGTGCCTCTGTCTGGATCATCTTTATAATACCTTTTTCATTTGACTGATTCCTGCTCACCCTTCAGCCTTTAATTATCTCCTCTAGGAAAACTTCCCTGGTGCCTGATGACTGATGCCCAGAAGAGTTAAACATCCCTCCTCTGAGCTGTGATATATAGATCTCTATAGCATTTATCGCTTTGTAACACTTGTAAAAAAAAAAAAAAAAAAAAAAAAAGTAAATACAAATCTTATTCAAAATGAAGTGGGAAGTGGGGGGAGGGGATCTGTCATGCCCTGTGTCAATCATGAAGCATAAAAGGGAGAACTCTTTGTAACTGCCCTCCCAATTTCTTCTTCCCCTCTATAAAAGAGTTCCTTTTCTCTCTCTCTCTCTCTCTTTCACTCTCTCTCTTTTTTAGCAGACTTGCATGTGGCCCACCATGGTTGCCTGTTCCAGATTGCAACTCTTTGTTGTACCTGAATAAACCCATTTTGCTGGAGAAATATCTGGCTAACTTTTTAAGGTCAACATTTTTTTTGTTTTTATTACTTACATTTCTAATAAAAAATTTTCTTCATTTTTCTATCTCTTTAACTAGACTGTGCAATCACTGGGTTCTGTTTTATTTTCGTTTTTGTATCTTCACTACTTAGAATGGTAACAAACATGTTCAATAAGTGTTTAAACAAGCAAAGAGAAGTACTACTGGGCTGAAAATGACTTACTTTGGAAGTTATCACTGGATGTTGCTGTTTTATTATTGTTGTCAAACAGAAAAAGGCATGATTTAGCAGAATGATCAGAAAGTAGAAGGGAGGTGGGGATAGGGGAATTGAATTAAGATGGTCAAAAGGTACAAACTTCCAGTTATAAGATAAATAAGTACAAGGGATGTAATATACTACATGTAACTATAGCTAACATTGCTGTATGGTATACCAGTATTTGAAAGTTGTTATGAGAGTAGATTCTAAGAGTTTTTGATACCGTTGTAATAACTTGGTTATTATTTAACAGGAAAGAGGTGAAAGGGGAGGCCAAAAGATATAGGCATGCCATTTATATGGCTATGCCAAAAAGCTACATTCAACACTGTCCTAACCTGTTCCCCACTCATTGATGGGGGAAGGGACTAGACAGAGGCAGTTAAGATATGTGCCCAGTAGGGTCTGAGTGATGTGGGAAATACTTGCCTATCAATCACACCTGGAAACAGGTAACTGGCCAGGATGAGCATGGCCACTGAAGTGTGCACAAAACCTAAAATATTTAAACTTCTAAACAAAGAAGTGAGCACTTGGCTCACTCTAGCATTCTCTCTCTCTCTCTCTCTCTCTCTCTCTCTCTCTCTCTCTCTCTCTCTCTCTCTCACACACACACACACACTCGCTAGCCTTAGGCCTCTTGGGACTGCTGCTGGTGTTGGACTGAGCTACCTTTCACCCACATGGCCCACAGCCATGTTGGACTCCACACATAGACTAATGGACTATAATCTAGTCTGAATGCTGAACCAGACACAGCTGCAACACAGAAGGGAAACTCTGGACGCTCACTCTCTTTCCAGCTCTGATGAACTTCCAGCTGCCCCTCTTCCAGGACTGGTTTTGGGGAAAAGGGACATTGGAACCAGAGGAATGTAACTCTGTGCCAATACAATCTACTGCCACCACTCATCCTCCCATGGAGGCTTCTGAAAATGTTTAGTTCAGCCGTGCCCCAGGAACCCGACAACGATGGTTCCCACTCATGTACTCCTCTGGCAGCATTTTCATCCAAGGAAAAAAAGGCAGAAGATTCAGGCTTGTTGCATATTTATGTGTAAATGTGGCTAAAAACTATAGAAAGGTATGGAAGACTTTACAGCAGGAAGAAACAAGTGACCTAGTACAAGCATCTTGTTTTACGGAAAAGAAAATTAAGACACGTGGAAGTTTAGGAACTTTTCTGAGGTCACACGATGATTAGTAATAGAACAAAGACTAGAATTCAAGTTTTTGTTGCCCAATTCAGTGTTCTTCCCTCTTCACCAGAGTTAACTTTTTTGCTTTGTTAGTAACTTCCCAATGACCACTTCACTGCGTTGCTGTGATTACATAAAATAATGCATTGGAAAATACTTCAGAAAAGTATAAAAGGGCTAAGCACTAGTGGACAAGTTGTAGAACCAGAGGATTTTAAAGTTCCCATACCTGTCAGTTTCCCTCTATGACTGGAAAAACATTCCCCCTCATTTGTTTTATTGCAATCAAATAGTATAAAATGCAGGCAATGAAAACATTCTGGCAGGTGGCTTGCTGGAGCTGCAGCCAAAGACCTTTCTGTGAATATTTTTCAGGCACAGAGAAGACAAAGAGTGCAGTCTTTGTCCAGATAGGATAGATACATTGATATCAAACCAATATTTATGGGTAAGCACTGGTAAATGAAACCACACTGTTCATGTAATTGACAAACAACCTCAAACACAAAGGTACCCACAAAATTCCCTACCTTCAATCGGATATACTTTAGAAGGTCAAATTCTTTGGCATACATCCTGAAATACTCCAGGACCTGGGAGTTGTGCATGAAGTTAGGAAAATGATCTGGAATAGGATAGTCACTGAAGCACATCATCTCCTTAGAAGTATTGATGATCACTGATTTATAAATACTGGCTCTTCCTTCTTCAGGATTTTCCTGCAGTAAATAAGAAGCATTCGTAGCCACTTGAGAATTAACTTCATGGTTTATAAACAGTCAATAAACACTTCAAAAGCTTTTTTTTTTTTAAAGTTACACACACCTCTACATCTCCAAGTATTTGTGCCTTTGTGTAATCTCTTCCCCTTGAATCTGAGCTGTCTTTATGACTTGCTTTTGACCAACAGCATGCAGTTGGGACGATACTGAATGGCTTCCAAAACTGTCATAAGTAGTCTTGCAGCCACTGCCTACGTCTCTTAGAAAGCTTGTTCTCATAGAAGTCAGGAGTCGTGTAAAAAGTCCAACTACCCTGAGATTACCATACTGTGAGGAAGCTGGTCACATGAAGAGAATGTATGAGATAGAGCCAGTTCCCAGAAGTTCTAGTTATCCCAGTGGGGTTCTAAACACTTGAGCAAAGAGACCATAGCAGATGTCCAGTATCAGTTGTCACCTAATTGCAATGACCTGAAATTCCAAGTGAGAACTGCCCATCTGAGTAATAGTCTTAACTATTTTTTTAAATATATTTTATTGATTTTTTTACAAAGAGGAAGGGAGAGGGAGAGTTAGAAACATCGATGAGAGAGAAACATCGATCAGCTGCCTCCTGCACACCCTCTACTGGGGATGTGCCCACAACCAAGGTACATGCCCTTGACCGGAATCGAACCTGGGACCCTTCAGTCCACAGGCTGACGCTCTAGCCACTGAGCCAAACCAGTTAGGGCTAGTCTTAACTACTTTATATATTTCAAAGCCTAGGTAAGTTTTGAGGGTTTTCATATACTTATGAGGCTGCTCTCCAGGAATCATTGTACTAACTTAAGTTCTGTCCAGTATATGTCCCCATTTTACCTCATTTTTTATTAATTTAAAAGACAAAATTACTCAGTGTTAGCAAAAATGAGGTGAAATTGGAACTTATGCTGGAGCAAGTGTGAGTTAGAAGAATGTACTTTTCCACCATCAGTCTTACTTAACATTAGTGATGAGATCAAGAATTGATTGAAATTAATATTTTGAGAATTTATATATGCAGTACCCCCCTCCCCTTATCTGCTTTCTATGATTTTAGTTACTCGCTGTCTGAAAATATTAAATGGTAACTTTCAGAAATAAACAATTCCTAAGTTTTAAATTTTGGGCTGTTCTGAGCAGCATGATGAAATCTCATTCTGTTCTTCTCCAACCTGCCCATGGCATGAATTATCCCTTTGTCTAGCACAGCGGTTCTCAACCTGTGGGTCGCGACCCCTTTGAGGGT